TGAGTCCATGACTCGCCCTCTAGTCTTAAGTGTCAAGACTTTTGAGGGAAAAGAGGGAGAAAATCTCCAATTGTGGATTCGTGAGATGGAGAGTGCCATCAGCTCGGCTCTGCTTCGTTCAAAGCAACGAAAGGTGGGCCTGGACCTATCGAAGCTAGTCGGGAGAGCCAGGGAGTGGAAATTCACTTCCGGCACCTCGATGGAAGGGGCTTGTCCCACCTGGTACATGCTTAAACAGTAACTGTCTCGAGTGTTTGCCCCGCCTAATTGGGCACATCGCGTGCGATCGCGCTTTTCATCGACCCGTCAGGATAAAAGAGACTCGGAAGGCTATGTCCAGAAGTTGCAAACTCTCATCGCTGCTTTGCAGCTTGACCATTGAAACGGTTTTGGCAATCATTATCATGAAAGGTATTCGCGCTGGTGTTGCCAGAATATGAGTGTTTCGTGCACAGCCCGAGACATTTATGGGTGCAGTATGCATAGCGTTGAAGGCAGAGTTCAACTCTAAAGCTGCTCGCTGTAGGAATCATAGGTTCCATTCAAATTGGTAGAGAAAAGCTCTTCTAATGCATACGAAAGAACCCATAGAACTTAGTCTCGCTGAGAGGGACGAAGAAGCTGAGCTTTACGCTGTCGAACTGCGTTCGAACATCTATGGATGTTCTACGGACGGCAATTAAACATCTTCGCCCCAATTGTCCTTTGAGAAGGATCAGACGGAACATGTTGAGCCACTTGCCATCCCTAACCAACGAGTTGACAAGGCGCGGGAAAAGGTCGAGTCTCAGTAGGCGCGGGGCGTCCTGCTGGGGAGGAATTGGGCTCGTTGTACCTCTGGGAGTTTATGGAGAACAGTGCCTAGTTCGAAGTGGCTTTTTGATCAACGCCACGAAGCACGAACACAAGCCAGGCTTGTTAGTTGCAAAATTAAAGGGTGGAGGGCTTTGATCAGCCACAGTCGGTATAGATCGACTCTGGGTCGTCAGGGAATCATGTCCGACGCTTTACCTTGGAAGGGAGACAGCAGTATGATGAGGCGCTGAAAGCACGAAATAATGAGACTATCACTGTTCGATTGGCGAAAAGTGCATTAGTCAATGCTCAAAGTTCCTGTGAACTTAAACGTTACGTTTTCGTACTTTGACAGTATCGAACGCTGTCCAGTCATTGACTTTTATGAGAGTTATGACCTCATTTTAGGTATGGCTTGGCTAGAACACCACGATCCATGGATTGATTGAAAGTCAAAGACCTTGGACGCAATGCACACTGAGCCTGCCGGAGCTTTGGAGAGTCATGAGCCCACGTCTGCTAGTAAAAATATAGGGGTATTGGCGCGAGCCACGTAATGAGACAGTCAGTGTGCTTGACATTGGTATGGATGAACTCATTGAGTTTGACGACATCAGAAATGTTAGTTACGAGCCAAGCCTTTTAACGCTTATTGAGACGGCACGTACTCCGTCGAGTAATGATCGTTTTGTTATGTATAACTGAATGATGAATGCATTGTTGGCCTAGAGACAAGTATAACGGGGAAGGCTGTCAAATGATATTGATACAAAAAGGTTTCAATAGAGTTATTGTCTAGCATGACAATATCCTACCAATACTATCCGAGGTGGATAATCCCATTGGAATACTATCCCCTTTTAGGATAATATATATGCGCTGCTCCAAGATTGGTTGATGTAAGACATATCAACCATTGATTACCACCAATCGATGCTAGACGCGCGCAATGAGTAGTGAGCAGGTTGTCGTCATACGACGACGTTGTCTAATATAGTTAGATAAAGACTCAAGTTATACTGATAGCTTTACGATGTTACATTCAGCTCTCTTTGTCCCTTTGCTCAACTTAGCTGTTGAGTAATTTAGCTTCCTCTGCACGTACTAGTGTACGTGAAGTTTCGTGGCACCCAAACATAGGGTGCCCCGTTACACCTGGTAGCACTTCGTATTCCGTCCAACATGAACACGATGGACGATGAAGACGACAGCTTTCACGTCACACTTGAACGTTACTCCCCTCTGAGAGACTCAGAATGAGAGGTAGTCGGCCGCATGAGTATGCGCATGGGCGAACCAGCCATCAGTGGTTTGTTGGAGTCTCTAAGAAGAGACCAGGAACATGCTGCTATCAACAAGTTCCTACAAGGGGAACTTGCCGTCGAGCGACAGAAGATAGCCTTGCTGCAGTAGCAAGGCTCTCATCAGTCGATGGGCAGACCGACGCACATGCATCGACCCGAAAACTTATAGAACGATGTCCCAAGGTACAAAGGAACCGATGAAGATTTCCTCTTGAGATTGCTCGCCGAGTTTGACGATGTCATCAGGGACCGTCACACAAAGGTGACGAGATGCAAGTCGCCTTTGCCCTGTCAAATTTGACAGGAAGAGCAAATGCTTGGGCCTTAGGGCTCAAGCTTCACATCCCAAAAGTGTTTGAGTCGTTGGAGATCTTGAAGTATCGGCTCAAAGAGACGTTTAAGCCGCCGAGAGCCGAGTTCAGAGCATGCTCTGCACTCTTGCGGCTAAAGCAAGGTAAGCGTGACTTGCACGCTTGCGCACAGCACCTGCGCTACCTTGCGAGTAGCGTTACGAAAAACCCTGTTGATGAGCATACGCTCGTCAACTTGTGTCCATCGACAGCTTTGTGGATGGGCCGGTGAAGACCTACATGTTCCGAGAGGACTACCAAACGCTGGAAAGGCCACAGCGTTAACGGAACAAGAAGACTTCAGCCTGATACAATCTCAGGCTAGCTCGTCTAACTATCGTCCGACGAGACGCCAGATAACAAGGGGTCCCGAACCAATGGACTTCTGTTACATCGAAAGTGAGAACTCCCGTTCTCTGAATCACAAGCGAACAGCAAGATGTCGTCACTGTCAAAATATCGGACACTACGCTTGTAAGTTTAGTGTCATAAGCACCGCATCACGTCCAAAGACAGGGCGTAATGACCCCTGTTGTTCAAGGAAAGGTCCGAGGCGCGGATCCGACCATGTCGCTAAGCCACGGCAGCAATTCGGACCGCCAATATCGGACAGGGTCAGTAGGGGCGGAGCACCATGCTGATACAGCAACGTCAAGAGAATTTGCAGGACTCTTGACGAAGATTGCTCGCAACACACAGTCGCTGTGTGGTTTAGCCCTTAGTGATGAGGAGTCCCTCATCACTTTGAATATGGGAGTGTTAAGTGGAATGTCACTTCGCGCCCTAGTTGACTGTGGGGCGTAGAACAGTTTTTTTCGACGTCAGTCGCTAAATGATAGTAGGCTCAACTATGTTGAGCGAGAGTTCCCTCCAACGAGAATAAAGGTGTGCCTTGCTACAGGCGCATCCGTAACAGTGAACAAACGTGTACTGGGAATCAACTACATGCTAGAAGGAAAGCAGTACGATGACGACTTCATTGTACTGGATTTGGATGACAAATTTGATGTCATCCTCGGTCTGCCATGGCTTAAAAAACACCATTGATGGATCAGCTAGCAGCATCGATCCGTGTAGATGCCTGCCGTTTGTTCATCAGGTGGCCATCTGATGAACGTCTTCGAGCATCCACAAGCGTGTGGATGCTCCGCGAGTGAGTGCGATGGCCTCACTTGTGGTACGGTCGTTAGTACGACTGCACAAGATCACAGTGTAGAAGTCCACTACACTGTGAAATTAGATTCCGGCACCTGTGTAAAAACACAGTGTGTACCGAAGGTTCACCACTCGAAGAGATCGAGTGAACTAGAACACGGATGCACACCAATAAAGGTGCATCCGAGAAGAGAGACTAGTGTTGTTCAGGAAGAACAACACGTTGAAGTGAGATCGACTATCACAGATTTGATCGAAGAGAACGTGACTGTAGTAGTACACCCACAGTCAGTACACGTAATGGAAGAAGTATTCAGCGTTCCTGAGAGTGATAACTCCCGAGAGAGTTATGTTGAGGGTGTGGATTCCCATACACCTGCGGATGTGGTTTTACAGGGAAGCACCGAGACAGTGAATGTCTTAATGAATAACGGATCAAGTGTAGGCGCTAAAACACTTAATCTTATTACATCTCCGATGTCAGCTTCGGAGGCAGTCAAATTGCTAACGCTATAATCTAAAAGATTCTTGCGAGATCTGCGTAGTGACAAGATCTAGCAGATCTGCGTACTCGTCACAGAGTACGAGTACGTCTCCAATATTCGGTCGGCACAAGTGTTTGCTGAGAATGAACGGGTTCTCAGTAGTTCGTCGGTGGACTAGGTTGTACTCGATGAGAAGACATGGATTAAGCGATTCACGTCTTAATCTTGGGAGTCTTTAAAGAAAAATCCTTAATACAAGGATTTGGTTGAATTCAGGAATGTTTTACCGATATCTGTGCCATGCGAGCTTCTCAAGGACAAAGGCACTTGGCATGAGATATAACTGAAACCCGGTTCGAAATACTGTACCTTATATAAGTAGCCACTACCTCGGGGACAGGTCACAACAATCAAAGAATTTTTTGCCGATCGTTTAGCTGTGGGCCATGTGAGGGAATCAACATCCCCACACTGCTCTCCGAACTTCTGTGTGCGAAAAGCAACAGGAGGGTGGCGGATAGTGCACGCGTTCAACAAATTGAACGCTGCAACGGTACCAGCTCAAACACCGATACCGAGGAAGGACGTCATCATAGATGGTATGGCAAAAAGTACCATCTTTTCGTCCATGGATTCGATAGATGGATTCTAACAGATCCTCATGCGTGAGCGGGACATCCCGTACACAGCAGCGAGCACCCCCAGTGGCATGCTCTGGGGGTGGCTAGTAATGGCACAGGGGATAAGTAACGCCACTGCAACGTTCAATAGTTGTGTTGCAAATCTGTTGCGATCGGTGCGATATATCGCACCAAGTTACTTTGACGATGTCTTCGTTCATAGCCGGGCAATGGATGGAAAGACGGACGTGGGGATTCATAGAAATCCACGTCCAGAAGGTTCTTACTCTGATGCGAGAGCATAAGTTGTTCGCGAACCACAAGAAGTGTATATTCGCAGCGGACAAAATACCACTTCTTGGCTGCATCGTGGGTAAAAACGGTGTACGCCCTGATCGGATTAAGGAGATTAGCGACTGGTCTGTGCCAGTCGACGTCAAGGGACTTCGAAAGTTCCTTGGCTTGGCGGCGTACTTGCACAAGTACTCGCGCAACTACGCCGAGATGACTGTGCATCTCCTTCGTCTGCTTAAGAAAAACGTGAGGTGTTCATGGAGTGCCGAGTGTCAGTAATCCTTCGTAGGTATCATAAAATCTTGAGATACAATCGCCTGTATGGGCAATTGCAGACCCGAAAAGACCATTTCATGTGGTCTGTGACGCCTTCGACTTTGCAATTGGCTCCTCGTTAACGCAGTACGACTCAGACGGCGTTGAGCGCGTCGTCGGTTTTTAATCTCGTCAGCTGCAAGCAGCTGAGCGTAACGACCCGGTGTATGACAAGAAACTCCTTAAAATGAAATATGCACTAGTCAGGTTTCGGGTATATCTCTTAGGAGACAGGCTCTTCAAAGTTTATACCGACCATGTGTCGTTACGCACGCCCGTAAAATGTATTCACCTCTCGCAACGAATGGTGAAGTGGCTGTATTTCTTCGCGGTGCACAACTTCTTCTTCGACAATACACCTATACGACTTATGTCATCTCTGATGCTCTTTAGCGTCGTTCTTATTTCGATCCGACTGTTTAATCGAAAAGTAGGGGTGATCCCACTGTTGCAACAATGGTAGTGAGTTATTTGTTATCGAGTCTGCTCGACGACGTGCAAAAAGCATACGCGGAAGATGAGTCTCTTCTCCGATTGATGTATTACGTATCGAATTCATGCCGAAAGATTTGAAGAGATTGACGTTGCAATACCTCTCTTTATCCGAACGGTAATCGGTTCGTGATGGGTTGTTGTACTGAACAGCAGTCGACGGCGACACACCTTGTGTCGTCGTTCCTGCTCAAAATTATTTGCAAATTGCGCATCATGTATGATGCCCTGACCAGTAAGCATTGCGGTAGAGAAAAGACTTACATCACGGTATCGTGTGACTTCTACTGCACTCGCCAGTATGAGTATGTGCGCATATGCATCTGTTCCTGCGATGTTTGTCAACGGATGAAGCCTAGTCCTCAATTCCGTGCGCCCTTGCAATCCTCTACCAATTTTAGCAGAGTGCTGGCAGCTCGGATCGATAACATTATCTTTGGATTTCCCAAAGACGTTCACAAGAATACTAATACTCTTGTGTTTGTTGATCGGTTCTGCAAGACGGTACATCTTGTTGATGTGTGCGAGTCAATCACAGCCCGAAGTTGAGCTTGTGTCATCATCGATACTATCTTCCGACTTCATGGGTTACCCCGTGAACTCGTGTCTGATCGAGACCCCCGCTTCGCGATGGAGTTCTGGCAATTCGTGTTCCGTTCATTTGGAACACGTTTGACGATGTCGACTTTAGACCAACCATAAACAGATGGTCAGACGGAACGCGTCAACCGCTTCCTCGAAGAGATACTTCGAGTGTATATCTACTAGTTTACGATCTGGAGTGAGTTCTTGCCGATGGCGGAATTCGCCATCAATAACTCGGTGCACGCGTCGACAAAGCGTACACAGTTCTTCGTAACCGGCCTAAGCCATCCACGTTTACCCTCCTTCGTAAAGTGTGGCTCTAGTTTAAGGGAGGGTGGACTCGCTCGAACAAAAACCGATCTGGTTCTTGCTCATCACTCGTCGGCTAAGGTGTCGACGTGATGGATGCCGATGTCGATGCGATCAAAATCGATGATAACGATGACAACGCTGCTGGTACATTCAGCATCGCCAATGACTGTCAAAGTGAGGACGATGACGCCCTCACCGGTGAAAACAACGTTCTTTCAGGAGTGCACACGAAGCGCACTGCTGTTGACAAGGATAAATCAGCAGAGGAAATTTTGCTGACTCGCGAAGTGGTTGTCCGCTTCGTCTAATGCTCTATTGCAGATGCACTAGACAGACAGCAAAGAAATGCAGACAAATGTGAAAGAGCAAATGCACTTTCATTTGATGAAGGAGATTCAGTTTTACTTTCTACAGCAAACTGACTGAAACACGCAGTGAAAAACGTGGGCAGCAGTAAATTACTGCCCAGGTACATTGGTCCATTTCGTGTGTTGCGCCGAATGGGCAACGCATACACGATTGAACTGCCCCGTAAGATGCGTACGCATCCTAGGTCTTACGTCGGTCGTCTCCGCCCGTACTATCAGTACGAGCCCGTTTCAAGATGCGAAGAGTATCTTCGCGGTCGTGAGCCGAGACCACCTTCGAGTGGTCCCGTTTCAACGATCCAGTCTGGTCGACTATGAAAGCGACCTGTTCACGCAGTTCAGCGATGTCTCGACAAGCTGCAGCCAGCTCGTCACGAAGAGAACGAGTCGAAAGTTCGTTCTCAAGTTGTGCGAATGCAAACGCGGCGCGATCGTCCGAACAAACGTGCGTTAAGGAATTGTAATTATCCCTTACAAGCCCATTGAGCCTAAAACGCCGAGTCCTTTCATAAGCCAGGTCATCTTGCAAATGTTCAGTTACACGGTTCAGCTCCTGAACATCAAGCTGATCCGACCCTCGAGCCGGATCAGGTGTTCCCGCCGCCACCACATCCTTTGGTGGACTCAGGCGGTGATCAAAGCTTTCCAGTGGAGCGTAGTTTGAGCCACCGCAACGTGAATGGCGTCCGAACGAGTTACCTCGTCCGCTGGCGTGGCTATCCACCGGCGCGGGACAGCTAGGAGCCTCGTGCCAACTGATTGATAATTTTTTGGCTCTCGTCGAGCATCATGACGAGACCCACCGCTGCATTCGAAGAAGGACCGTCGGAAAACGACCTCCCCGGACGTGAGTACGGGGATTGCAAGGTGTCAATCCCTTCGGCCATCTCAGAAGAGATGCACACCCTCCAGTAGGGAAGCTTAGGGAGTTAGGCCTCCCTAAGGGCACAATTAGCTTTTTCCAGGCACTTTGGTAACGAATTATTCCACGAAAGATAGGGTAATCCTGCCTCTCTTGCCAGCCAGTGCAACTTGCATTGCACCCCGACTAGGAGGCGCTTCTCAAAACTGATGCGAGCTGCATCAAGTTTGGCGAGCCAGGCCTCACGGCCAAGCACTCGGTGTTGTGGATGAGGGCATTCCATCCTTGCACCAAGGCTTTGCTATCTGCAAGACGGCTACCTTTGTACCACCGATGTTCGAAAAACGCATCGGTGAAGAATTCTTCCTCAGCACGGATAGTTTCCGTGCTAAAATCAGGTGGGCATATCTTCCTGCAATCAAACAACGGGATTAGATGCCGTCCGGTAGTCATGCCGGCCAACCGGTTTAACTCTTTGGATGACGGCATCCAAGAATACTCCACTTGAGGAGCGTGGTTCAAAACAATTCAGCCCTTGGCCTCTTATCTAGTGCCAGCATGATCCCTGGCACCAGTGTTACCCCGATTACTCGAATTACTTCGCTCGTGGTGATGTACAGGTGCATCACCACCATCCCCACGCGTCCTATCGTTAGGCGGACTTGCTTGAGGCGGAAATTCATCGGAATAATCACTCGATCCAAAGATCTCGGACATGATACCGCCACGTTGACCAGAGCCAGTCAACCTGGCTCTTGCAGTGTCCGCCTCGGGTGATCCGGAGACGTGAGGAGTCGCCTTCGAGTCGAATTCAACATCCGATTCGCCAGAATAGATGAGCTCAATCTCAGACTTGTCTTGATTACGACCCGAGGAGCCCGCTGCAGACGCAACGAACGTACCTGTCGCACGTGGTGACTCACCACGTGGAAGATTCACGACAACAGGCGACGGGAAGCCTGCTGCTGAGTCGTGAGAGGTACTTTCCGCGGCCGCACACATGCGTGCAGCCGCCTTTCTTGCTGCTACAGTAGCAACTCGCTTGGATTTTGAAATAACGCGTTCGATTGGCAAATGCATGAAATTTGACCAACAAGTGCTTCCTTTCCCAGAGTGATCCAACGATGATCACTCTGTCCCAACCAATTCTAACTCAATCATCGATTGATTGATGGTTAAGGGGGGGTGATGTAACGGGGTAGCCCGTTAAATGATATTGATACAAAAAGGTTTCAATAGAGTTATTGTCTAGCATGACAATATTCTACCAACACTTTCCGAGGTGGATAATTCTATAGGAATACTATCCCCTTTTAGGATAATATATATGCGCTGCTCCAAGATTGGTTGATGTAAGACATATCAACCATTGATTACCACCAATCGATGCTAGACGCGCGCAATGAGTAGTGAGCAGGTTGTCGTCATACGACGACGTAGTTTAATATTGTTCGATAAAGACTCAAGTTATACTGATAGCTTTACGATGTTACATTCAGCTCTCTTTGTCCCTTTGCTCAACTTAGCTGTTGAGTAAATTAGCTTCCTCTGCACGTACTAGTGTACGTGAAGTTTCGTGGCACCCAAACATAGGGTGCCCCGTTACAACAAGTCAACATGGGTTGAACCCATCTGGTGAGCGTGGAGTGGCACGTAAGTACCCACTTTGTGATGTTGGCCTTGATTGCAACACACTAAATGTAAGTCAAGACTTTGTTGGTGAATCACCAAGTCATCAAGGGTGACACCAATTTGATGAGCGAGGAGTAGCACGTGAGTACCCACTGGGTGGTGCTATCACTGGAAGTGATACATCACCAAGTGTTGGTAATGACATCGTATTGGACATCAACCACAATTAGCTTGACACACTTCGTCAACTTGGGGACAGTTTAGTCCCAAAGTCGGTAATGACGTCAGCCCTGATTTGAAAAAAATTATGGTTCACGGAGTTATTTAACTTGGAGATGAGGTAGCCCCAGATGTCGGTATTGAAATCGGCCCTAGTATTGGGCTAATTAAGTTTGACGCTGTTGGTCACCTTGGGGGAGGTACAGTCCCGAATGTCGTTTATCATCGACTCTGGTAATGAGCAACTTAAGATTAATAGTCGTGTTTGTTGTAAGGAAAGCAAAATGCGAGTGAATATATTTAGATTATTCGTTAGCAATCTCTTTTGCTATTCTATATCTACTGGATTCTTTCTACAACACAGTCGTAATCGCTATGTCGCGCATTACTATTTGCTATGTAGCTCATTACTAATGGTCTGCACGTACATACTTGTAATTGCCACTTACATGCTCAGTCGCTTCTTTTATGATACTCCCACTTAACTCGGTATAAACAGCAACAGTGATGCCGAGTTTAGTACGGAGGTTGGTAAACTGTGGCGCTGCGATTGCCTTGGTCATAGTGTCAGCGAGACTTTTTTTTGCGTCTGACAGTACTGTAGCACGACTTGATTCTTTTCGACGTTTTCTCGCATAAAGTGGTAGCGAATGTAGATTTGCTTGGTGCGTTTGTGAAACTCTGAGGTCTTGGTAAACGCAATAGCACCTTAATTGTATTCATAGATAGTTAGAGCACCATCTCCTGCTTTTCCGCCCAGCTCACGCATGAACCTTTTGAGCCACATCGCTTCTTGGGTCGCCTCCGACAGTGACATGTACTCTGCTTCGGTAGAAGAGAGCGCCACGATGCGCTGTATCTTGCTACGCCAGCTGATGCAGCCGTTGTTAATCACAAATACGAAGCCGCTGGTACTTCGTCTAGTATTGATATCTCCAGCCCAGTCGGCATCGGACTAGCCAAGTAACTTGCCATTGCTAGCGCCGGTAAAACGCATACCAAATGTAGGAGTCGCTTTCAGGTACCGTAGCACGCGCTTGAGTGCTCGCCAGTGTGTCGGACGCGGGTCAGCAGCAAAGTGGCTGAGCGCTCTCACTGAAGATGCCAGGTCTGGACGCGTGCCTACCACGAGGTACATCCAGGTTCCAACGGCACTGTGGTAAGGCACTCCTTGTACGGTGTAGCTGTGCTTGCACATATTTTTGCACATGCGCTGAGTCAACTTCAGTCCGGGATCTTGTGGTGTCCTAATAGGCTTAGAGTCTTGCATACCGAACTTGGTCAGAATCGATCGCAAGAACTTAGGCTGTTTAAAAGACAAATCGCCTGACTTGTCATCTCGCTCGACTTCTATACCAAGGCAGTACTTGAGCTCACCAAGATCGGACACCTCGAATATCTCGGTCAATGCACGCTTGGTGGCTGCGAGGCTGTCCATATTGTTGTACGCAAGGATGAGGTTGTCGACGTTTATAACAACAAACATCATAAACTTGTCGTCACGCTTAGCGTAAACACAGTAATCCATCTCGCACTTGGTGAAGCCAATATTGCGCATAAATTCATCAACAGTCTGGTTCCACATGCGAGGGGATTGCTTGAGTCTGTAAAAGCACCCTTGAGCTTTCACACCTGGTGAGGATGATTGGCGTCAACGAATCCATCAGGGTGCTTCCTGTAGATCTTTTCTTCAAGCATAACGTTGAGAAACGCCGTTTTGACGTCCATCTGGTGAAGTACGAGGTTGTGCTGCGCGGAGAGGCTCACAATGGTCCGGAACGACGCGAACTCGGCCACTGGTGCGAACGTCTCCTCAAAAACTAAACTGCACTTTTGCAAAAATTCTTTTTCCACGAGGCGCACTTTTTATCGCTCGATCAGTCCATCAACAGTCTCCTTCATCTTAAACATCCACTTGCTGCTGATCGCCCTGCAATCACTTGGTACCGGCACGAGCTCCGATGTGTTGTTCTTGCACAATGACTAAAACTCTGACTCGCAAGCCGATGATAATGTCATCAGCATTTCTCCCACTGAATCTTCGACGTGAGCACATTCTTCTTCTTCTCCTGCTGCTTCTTCATCAATAAATGCGAGAAGCGCCGACATGACTTCTAGTGGTGACGCAGTACCTTGCACTGACGATGTGTGCACATCACGTGCAATGGCCCCGCGTCTATAGCGTTTTTCCACTGGTCGTCTCTTAAAGGCTTCTAGTGACTGCGTGTGTACATGTCGTTTCGACCCCGAGAGAAACTTGAATGTCTGATGCTGCGTATACCACGGATGACGACTTGAACGCTGCAATTGTTTCCATAGTGGCCGCTCGTGGATCGAAACTGAATCAGGCGTATGTGCATCCATGTACACATTGTCAACTCCGTTGTCATGGTCGTTGTAGGCTTCATCAGTAATTTGGTACTCGATAGGGTTAATGCCGCTTTGTTGCATGCACTTCCCGCTGTCAAACATGTCTTCCATAATTTGGGCGTTGCGACTGCTTAGAATATCTTTAATCCGGTAAGCGTTTTCGTGGTATGAGTAACCCAAGAGGCGGTACAACGTCGATTCGTGCATCGAGCTTCGACCTTTTCCCTTTTGGCACATGCACATGTCAGTGCCATCCAAAGACTCTCAGGTTTTTTTAAAAAAGGCTTTGTCTTTATACATACCTCGTGCGGGGACTTTTCATGGCCAATTGTTTGCGTCGGACTTCGATTGCACAGGAACGCTGACGTCGACGCTGCTTCGCCCCAGTAGTGCTTGCTTAGTCCCGCATGCTCGATCATGCATCTAGCACTCTCGACTAGAGTCCTGCTCATTCAATCCGCCACTCCGTTGAGTTGTGGTGTGTACGGCGGCGTAAATTGCTGTATGACGCCTTTCGTTGCGCCAGACCGCGGCAAACTTGTTATACACATATTCTCCACCGTTGTCGCTGCGGAGCATCTTGATGCGACAACCGATCTGAGTCTCGGCAACCTTGGTGAGCTGCATGAACTTATTCAACACTTTAAAATTGCAGCGAATTAGGTACACGGTCAAAAACCGCGACTTGTCGTTAGTGAACATCACAAAATAGCGCTTGTTGGTAACTTTTCGAAGTCTGCATTGGTCCACATACATCGGAATGCACGACGTCAAGCAGGTCCTTGGCTGGTTTTCGGGTAGTTTACGGAAGACTCACTAGCGTCTGATTTTCGAGCGCGCACCCGTTGCAACGTCTACTTGTCCACAGATGTAATGTTGATGCTGACACCGAGATTCTGCTTCACGATCTTGTCGAGTCCACCATGGCCAATTTGACCAAGACGCAGATGCCACAAGGACGACTTGCTCATCTAAGACTTGTTGAATTAACTTGCACGCTCGCGCTTTCGACTACCACATTGTGTCATGCATAGTGTATAGAGACCTTTGCCGGCACGCTCGCCGATCCTCCACATCTGGTTCTTGAAGTCTGCATAACAGGTGCTCGTAATAAACTTCACTGCCGCGACATCCTTGGTGAATCGACCGACTGAGAACAGATTGCGTGATAGCTTCTGAATGTGCCACACATTCGTAAGCACACCCTTCTTGTCACCGCTTGGTGTCTTCATTATCATCACTACGTTTGCCGGTCCCAATCGCCTGCACGACCCCGTCGTCTGCGAGATGAACTTTATCTGTATCGATGGTCGTGTAGTTTGTCATAACCGATTTGAGAATGACATGTGCTGCGTCGCGCTAGATTCTATGAGCCAGGCTAACTTCTTGACGTTGTACTCGTCGTTGCTCTCCAATCCAGCTGCAAACGGGAATTCGTTAAAGTTTTCATTTTGATTGTGCGCCACATTCGCACGCTGCGGAAGCTGCCGGTCCGCGTTGTCAGGGATCCGCGAGGCGCATTCCGCGATACAATGACCCATTTCACGCAGTATTTGAACGCGTCAGTCATTTTGAATGGCCTTCCACTACGCTTCTTCTCACCTGTCATGAACGCTTGACCTGCAGCGACCCCGTAACTGCCTCGCTCCTTGCGCTTCATGTACTTATTTAGCAGCCTGGATGTCACCAGTTCCCACGACAGCGAGTCGGCTCTTGAATCCAAAGCTGTAATGAGAAATGCAAATGACTCGCTTAAGCTTCCAAGGTGCGTGATTACCAGGTCTTCTTTGTTGACCGGAGTTCCCACCGCGTCGAGTTGTTCCACCAATGTAATCATCTTGTTAATGTGCGAAAGCACATCACCGCCTTCCTCCATATTGGCCGTGAAGAAACGGCGACGAAGAAAGAGCTTGTTGGCTAAGCTCTTCTTCTAAAAGTGGCCTTCCAGCCTCGACCATGCATCGTACGCTTCACTTGCCGACCGAACCAGGGGCAGCTGCGAGTCCTCCATCGCAATACAGATTGTCGCAAACGCTTTCCGTGACTTGCGCTTAAACGTTTAATGGTCCAGCGTGGTGGCAAGGTGTTCCAGCTTGGTCTCCCGCTTGTCACTTCCCAAATGTCCCGCTCCTCCAGCACCGTCTGCATTTTTAACTTTCAAGTGCGGAAGTTCGTACCATCAAACTTGTTGATGCAAGCGTTGGTGGCGGTGGCAGCGTCCATGTTGAAGGCAAGTCGGCGTCGGGGGCAGAGTCAGCAGATCTTAAGCTTATAACCGGTTCCAAGGCACTTAGGTTGTAGAAAGCAACATGCAAAGTGAATATATTTAGGTCCTAAGTTCGTAATCTCTTTTGCTAGTCCTAGCCTACTGGATTCCTTTTACAACACAATCGTAATCGCTGTATCGCGCGTTACTAATCATGTAGTTGCGTAGTAGTAATCGTTTTGTCGCGCATCACTAATCGCTACGTCGCGCTTTACTGATCGTCTGCACGTACATGCTTGTCGTTGTCGTTTGCATGCCGAGTCGCTTCTTTTATAATAATGTAAGCCTCGGGGACGTGAATATTCAGGGAGACGGTAATGACACCGGCTCATTTTTAGAGCGAGTGAAGGATGATGAAGATATCTCCCTTTGGATCGAAAAAGTTCCAGTCTCGTTGAGACTATCAGTCTTGTTACGTAGACAAAAACGATGACAGATTGCTGTTATGCAACCCGAGAATCTATCATGTCACTAAGTGATACTAGCGAGACTCTATATACACTCTTTGATGAATTGCGACTGGTGACGTCAATGGGTCAGTGAGTCGGGAGAACCTATCCTTATTCGACACACTGTTTTAGATTTAGACAAAATGTCTGTCGATGAATTTGGTCTGACCTTAAAGTCAGGTGACTTATCTAAAGTGGTGGTCGTTAGATCTGATAGTGAGTTGAGCTCGTCGTCACTTCTTGAAAAATACGTCTTGGAAGTAACCAAGGCGGCAATGAGTGCTTGAAACGGTTCATCGATCTCGAAAGATTCTGCAGACCCATTTTTATCCTTTGGTTAAGGAGTTTCAGGATGTAACGTGTCACGATTTACCTTCCACTCTGCCTTCTGATTCAGGCGTACGTCGTAAAATTGACCTGGTTTCTGGAACCAAATACTGTGTACACGACAATGGCCCCTAGTAAAGAAGCAGTGTGACGTCATTGACGAATTCTTTCGTAAAAAGCACGCGTCTGACATGGTTCGTGAAAGCAAGTCTCCGCACTCAACACCGACATTTTGTGTCAGAAAGCCGTATGGCAAGCGACACATTGTGCATGTGTGCAGTAAGCTTAATGCATCCACTATACTTGAAAATACACGTATTCTTTGAAACGATGTTCTTCGGAACGCTGTGGTAGGTTGTATAATGTTCGGTGCAACTAATTTGGTCGATGTATATTATCAATTGCTCATTCGAGCGAGTGATATTACGCTTAAAGCGGTTCGTACTCCAAGAGGTATGCTTTGAGGGTGGCTTGTTTTGCATCAGGGGCTGTCTTATACCCTGGCTGCTTTTGATCCTCTTGTGACGCAGATTGTCCAACCTCACCGAGCATACGCACAAATCTGTTTCGACGACATCTTTTTCCATAGTCGTGCAGACCATGGTATGTCAGATGTGGAAAATCATATTTGTCATTTACGAGCAGTGCTCGAGTGCATGCACACGCATAAGTTGCATGCAAATGCATTGACTTGCATTTTTGGTGCTAAATAGATTCCTGCTCTCGTGTGTTTTGTCGGCAAGCGTGGATTTTGAGCGGATCCCACTAAGCTAAATTCAATTGTTGATTGACCGGTTCCGTCGAACCAAAAGGACTTGCGTTAATGGCTCGTCCTTGCGAATTACTTGCACAAGTACAGTGCGAATTTTGCTGGAATGGCAAAGCTATAAATCAACCTTCTGAAGAAGGATGCAGTAGCGTTAGGAGCGCAGTCCATTCTCACGCTTTTAGAGATTTATAAAAAAGACTACTTCACCCTCCAATTTGGATATACCTGACCTTGAGCGGCCTTTCAGTGTCATCTGTGAAGCGTCTAATTTTTGTATTGGCTGTGCATTATTGCATCCAGAGGTTGATGCAAATGAGCACGTACTTAAGTATGAATCTCGTCAGCTCAAAGCAGCGGATAAGAACTACATAGTTCAAGGAAAAAATTTTATTGTACTAAAGCAACCTTTTTCAGTTCAAAGTCCATCCCATTGACTCAAAGCCTTTTGTGATATTCACAGATCATGCGTCGTTTCGCACTACGACACAATCGACTCACCTCTCACAGCGCATGGCCTGTTGAATTTTATCATTAGCTGAATACAACTTCGAGGTGAAATAATAGCCGGGAAAGCAAAATGCATTGGCTGATGAATTGTCACGTAGACCTGTTTACGAGTTTGTTAATGTTACGACTCTGTCTTCACCCATTGGGGATTTAATTAGTGCGGCGTATGTACGTCATGAGCAATGTGCATCAATGCTACATGCTCTTGGAAATGAGGCGTATAAAGACTCGGACATTGGATTGTCGGCACGTTTACATGCGAGCCAACATTGATATGTCATCGATCGTGGGTTGTTGTGCAATTGCACGGGTGTTAAGGATGTACCCCGCATCCTTGTTTCTTATGATGAGAATTTTAAGTATCGTATCCTCTTTGAGGCACATGACACTGCTCTAAGCGATCATCTCGGTCGTGAGAAGTTCTATAGCTTAGTTAGCCAGACGTATAGGTGGCCCACGATGTACAAATGGGTGAGCGCATACGTTCGCACATCTGAAATGTGTCAACAGGTCAAACTCCAGCACATGCGGTTGCACCGCTTGCTAGTTTGCCTGTATCTACTGGGTGATCGTATTCCATCAATATGGACTTTGTGTTTGGCCTACCGAGGAATTCGGACGGCAACACTGGTATTGCGGTCTTGATGACCGTTTAAGCAAGATGGCTCATTAATCGGCTATGCCTAATTCCATCGACGTTGAAGGTGCAGCGAAGCTGTTTATTGACCGTGTGTTTCATCTATACGGTTTACCTGTGGCAATTTTTTTGATCGTGATGCTCGTTTCACTGGCAATTTTCGGACTTCCATCTTTAAGGGACTGGGCACCACATTGGACATGTCCACAGAGGATCATCCGCAGACCGATGGTCAAACTGAGCGTGTCAACCGTGTCATTGGTTACATTTTGCATAGTGTTTGTGCCGATAAGCCTCGGCGTTGGGGATATGTACTCCCTGTTGTCGATTTTACGTTAAATAATGATGTTCATGCCTCTACTGGCTTTTCTCCACTCTACGCGAATGGTCTCACTCACCTGCGTGTTCTACAAACGCTTCTTCTGCGTGGGTCTGGGGCTTGACGGGGGAGGAATAGACGATCGGTTAGCTGCTGTCAGCCCAACTTTTTGTTCCCGAAAAAGATGAGCGATTTCTCGCTACGCGTTTGGCTGTCTTAATCCATGCACGTGAAGTAATGGCCAATATCCAGGAAGAACTAAAGGAGCAAGCTAATGCCAGAGTTAAAATGTGTAGCGAGAGCTACGAGTTTAGAGACCTATTCTTAATGAACGCTAAGGATCTGCCTACCAAGAGGGTGTCAGTGGTCTACAAGACCAAGTTGCGCTCTCGCTTCGTTGGACCATTAACGGTCTTGGCCAAGAGGGGCCTAGCGTATACGCTTAACCTCCCACGCACGATGCGAACACATTAAGTGTCCTACGTCGGCTTGCTATAGCCTTACCTTGATCCGTCGCTGGTAAATAACGAGGCGCTTGCGCTGAAAGAGTTGACTATGCCACAAATTCAGGGACCCTCAAGAAAAGATCCAGGTGTCCCTCAAGATTCACCATTTGGTCACGCAGACCATGCAACTCGTGCACTATATTGTCAACGACTAGTAGAGATTCAGCGACCATTACCTGCTCTCGTTGACGAGCGAGAAAATCAACAGTAACATGTTGAGCGTCTTCTGCAGCGAGGTCGTCGAGACGGTCAGTATCAGTACTTGGTACAGTGGCAAGGGTTTCCGGAGTCGAAGAACCCATAGGAGTACAAGGTGCTACTGCGGCAGGATTATCCATGCTCCGTTGACGTTTCTAAACGTCGTCTTCAGGGTCATTCGACTCATACCTCTTCCCACTAGTCGGTGCGGGAGCGGAGGACACTACAGCTGCAGCTTTAGAGGGTGAAGGTGCACTAAGCGGGTCCATAGCTACCGCAGCGTAGCGGGTGCGATGAAACGACCGCAGTTGGCATTTGTCCTGTTGTTTGGCGAAGTCAAACGCATCTTCCGTTCCAACCAAACCAAACGTCAGCAATTGAAGCACTCTCTTAGCAATTTTACAGGCTTTGCAGAAAGAGTGCTCTGTGATATCAACTCACGAAGAAGAAATCGTTGTCCGTCTCTGTCCCATCAGGAAAGCAAAGATGGGTATTGCCCGCATGTCGACCACTGACGCACCCCGTGCTTAAAGAATTAGCCGGTCGAGGTAGTCTCATACAGCCACGTACTCGACCCCCCAGGTATCTCGCTCTAAGAGCCTCCCTCTCCGCTGTTGCTGCGGCTGTGAAAGCTTTGGGTCTCGTGGTCCATGCTGCGGGTGACTGCCTGGCATTCTGACGAATACGCTCATCCACAGTTGGTAAAGTGAAAAGGTAGTCAATGTGAGCATTGTCTGTGGCTACAATTTTTGCTTGGCACCTGCGTCATCGACCGACTAAAGATAGAGTGCGTGATCTTTATCGAGAGTGTTGTACGACAAACCCGACGCAGGATCGACGAATGCACGCTGTGCAATGGGTGAAGGACCCATATCTCGTTAAACGAATGGATTCGGCG